AAGACTGTGGGCTGCGCTGTGAACCCCTGTGAACTGTGCTTTAAACTTGTCCATGCAATAGTAAATGGAAAGGCAGTGTAGTGTGTGTTTAGATATTACAGATTTTCCTCGTAACTCTGGCAAGATTAATGTCAGCAACAGATACAGTATTAATATTCAGCTTTTATAGCTCTTTATCTCAGAACACTGTACAAGTGGCACCAGTAACATCATTCCTATTAAAATAAATAAATCTCATAGCAAATTTAAAAAAAAAAAAATTCCCAATATTTTTTTGTTAGTACAAGAACAAAAATTATAATTTAGATAGACTTATCCAGTGTTCTTTCTTTAATTATTGAGCCATTAAGTTTTTGGGTTGTGCCCAGTAACTCCATAGGTATATGGAGTATGGTATATATTATCTTTATATATTTGGATGTCGCTTTTTCTTCCTCATAGATAGTCGCTAACTAACACTAATTTAGGTTGTCATCAGTGTAAAAATGAAATCTCAAAGGACTCTTTCTTTGGTACACTGAAGAATCTTGTGCATTCTACTGGAAAAAAAGTAATTTTGAAGAGTTGCTTGAACTTTAAATTTATAGTATTATGTGACAATATGTCTGTATTCTGATGGAGAACATGCTTAAAAAATAAGAACAAAAAACTTGGTATATGTATACAGTTGTCTGCAATCATGATTATGTACATGTGTTTACATTAAATGCATTTCTAGCAGATTTTTTTTTTTTTTTTTTTTTTTACTGCTACTTTCAAACCTAGTCTTTAGTTTTCATTTTGCATGTTTTTTTTCTTACGGACTACATGCATTGCTTTTTCAGGTGATAGTCAGCTGTGCCAAAAAAGTATTATTCTCTCTCAAGCGTGTTGTGAAAAGGCCTCTGCGTATTACTTCTAAGAATAAGCATGTACCTCTTGACTTTCTATGAGATACTAAAGACCTCTGAAATATGCCTCTTGTATCCTCCTTAACTGTCTCTGTAGATGTGCTTAAAAAAAAAAAAAAAACAAACAAAAAAAAAAACCCAAAAAAACTACCACCTTTGTCTAAGGAATATCTTCAGTTTTGCTAGATAACCTGGAAAATCTTTCAATATAAATACTCTTAAAATGTAGTGAGCAAAAGAGACAATGTTGTTGAATCTGAATTAAATAACTCTTATTTCCAAATATTTTTTTTTGAACCAAAATAGTTCAATGTACTACAATTTTTGGAGGGAGAATAAAAAGCAACCAGGTGACAAAACAGTTTGAGTAAAATGTTCTTTGATTTTTACTGGCTTGTGAGTGTTTTGGCTTTCTGTTCCCCCTCCGAGATTGCTTTTTATCAAGAAGCAATGACTTTTTAGGGTGATATTTTTGATAAAACTTCCATAACCTATAACAAGTTTGGATTTTATAGTTATGCCAGTGAGATCATATTATGAATTTCTCTTTATTCTTATAGGTAGTAAAGTTGCACACAAAACTTGGCAAACCCATTCCTTCAACTGAACCAAATATGGTTACCCAAGCTACTTCCTCAACATCCACATCTGCTTCCAAACCAACTGCTTCTGCTTCAAATACAGCAACTAGCAGCAGCACTGTGAACTCCTCTGTTGGATCCTCTGCAGTGAAAATTCTTACTCCCACGGCAAACTCACCATTTAACACGTCATCCAATAACAAAACATCTTCAACCGCTGCTAACATAGCTGTAAAGAAAATATCTACACCAAAAATAAACTTTGTTGGCAAGTACAGAAGTCAGTCTTTATTTTGAAACCTAACCTATTCTATAATTTTTTTAAGATCTTAGTGCAAAAAATACAAATGTATTTAGTTATGCATGAGTAACTGTTGTGTTTAAGACAATTACTGATAAGGGAAAATAAGAATGTATATAAAAGTTTTGCTTCACAATTTATGGTGTTTTCTGCCCTGTTGTCTCCACCTGACCTCCCTTGGAGGCTTCTTCCACCTTCATAAGAAGCCTCCCACCATTGGTTTCTTATGTAGTAGCTGTTGGAGTATTGCAATTTATAGTCCAGTTGGTCCTAATTTCAGTTTACAGCCTGGGCTGTTAAGGCAACCTGCAGTAGGTTGGCAGTGGATAACTGGGCAACTGAAACATCCTTGTAACATTGGAAACTTTTGAAATAAGCATGACAGACATTTAGAGATAGGAAGCAGTTATTCAACAATAAGCTATCTTGCTCTTGAAGGAAAGACCTATGCAGTTGCAACACTGAAAGTATACTACCTTTGTTAGTAAAAACATTATAAGGTTTTGAAGTACTTTTTTGGATCCACTTAGGAAAAAAGAAAATAATCTGACCAAAAAAAAATGATTAAAATATATTTGCCAAGTTGTTCCATTCAGTCCTCTCTTGAAAAACCATGAAAATCAATGATGAAAATTGCAACTATAAAAAGCAAAAGTTTTTTCTTGCTAAATTAAACTAAACTAAACTAAAAAACTAAGTGTTTAAATAACTTTTTGTTAAACTTTTTTTAAAAAAACCTTTAACAGTTTTAACTAATTTTAAAATACTTTGGCCAGAACATTGATACTTGCAAATTAAGTCTTCAGTTTGCATATCATGTGTAATCATATTCTCATTTTATGAAAGTTAAATTCTTAACTTTTTTGATTTCTAGGTGGTAATAAGCTTCAGACGACAGTAAGTAAACTGGAAGAAATGAAATCAGCTGAAAGTGTTAAAACAACAACTGCTTCTACAGTACAAACACAGGAAGTAAACCCAGACACAGCAGCTGAACCAGTGACTCCTCCAAATCTTGTTGCCTTGCAAAGTGATGTCCAGCCAGTGGGCCATGACTATGTGGAGGAGGTATTGATATGAAAATTTGGATTATTTTTTAACTATTTTAGTGAAAAATTATTCAACATGAAACAATCACAGAATGGCTGAGGTTGGAAGGGACCTCTGAAGGTCATTTGAGGGTCCAACCGCCCTGCCCAAGCAGGGCCACCTAGAGCCAGTTGAAAGAAGGAACCTCCTGTGTTTCAGTTTGTGCCCGTTGCCTCTGATCCTGTCACTGGGCACCACTGAAAAAGGCCTGGCTCTGTCCTCTTTGCACCCTCCCTCTGGGTATTTGTATATGTTAATAAGATCCCTCCTAAGCCTTCTCATCTCTAGGCTAAACAGTCCCAGCTCTCTCAGCTTTTCCTCATAGGAGAGAGGCTCCAGTTTCTTCTTCATCTTTGTGGCCTTTCATTGGACTCTCTCCAGTATGTCCGTCTCTTGCACTGGGAAGCCCAAAACTGGACACAGGACTCCAGATGTGGCCTCACCAGTGCTGGGTTAGAGAGGAAGGATCAGCTCCCTCAACCTGCTGGCAATACTTTGTCTAATGCAGCCCAGGATGCCATTTGCCTTCTTTGCTGCAAGGGCACACTGTTGGCTCAAGTTCAACTTGGTGTTCACCAGGACCCCCCAGGTCCTGTTCTGCTAAGCTCCTTTCCAGATGGGTGGCCCCCAGCATATATTGGTGCATGGGGTTGTTCCTCCCCAGGTGCAGGACTTTGCACTTCCCCTTGTTGAACTTCACAAGGTTCCTGTCAGCCCATTTCTCCAGCCTGTTGAGATCTCTCTCCCTGGATGGCAACGCAACCCTCTGGCACATCAGCCACTGCTCCCAGTTTTGTGTCATCAGCAAACTTGCTGAGGGTACACTCCGCCCCATCATCCAGATCATTAATGAAGATGTCAACAGGACTGGACCCAGTACCGACCCCTGGGGTACACTGCTAGTTACTAGCCTCCAACTAGATTTCTTTCTACTGATCACCACCCTCTGGGTCTTGCCATTCAGCCAGCTTTCAGTCCTCCACACTGTATGCTTATCCAGTCCATACATCAACAGTTTGTCTATGAGGATATTATGGTGAGACTGTGCCAAAGGCCTTACTGAAGTCCAGGTAGACAATATCAACTGCTCTCCCCTCATCTACCAGGCTGGTCATTTCATCGCAGAAGTTTATCAAGTTGCTCAAGCATGACTTCCCATTGGTGAAGTCATACTGACTACTGATGATGATTTTCTTGTCCTTAATGTGCCTGGAAATGGTTTCCAGGATTAGCTGCTCCATCACGTTCCCAGGGGTTGATGTTAGGCTGACTGGCCTGTAATTCCCTGGGTCCTCCTTGAAGATAAGAGTGACAAGGCATTGAATCTGCAAAGGCTTGTGCATATGTTTATGAATTTGTATTGTGCTTGTTTCTTTTGAGCTCAGTGGGGCACTCTTCATGTGGGTGGAATGAGATATGTGGATGAAGTCTGATGTAAATTTTTCATCATTTGCAGGTTTGTAATTATTCAACTCAATATGTTCGGGGAGTTTAAAGCTGTGTACCCTTTGTAATGGAAGAACTTTGTTCTTTGTTACCAAACACAATGTTGTGTCTGTCAGAATTGAAAGTTCTGTTTTGCCTTCTTTCTTTTACTGTGTGAACTTTTTAGCATGTTTTGAGATGGGTAGTCATTATCCAGTGTCACTGAATTAGATTAATTTTTACATCAGCTTTGTTTTATTAAAAAAAAAAAAAAGCCTAATGTGTTATAACTTTATTTTCCAGGTAAGAAATGATGAAGGAAAGGTGATCCGCTTTCACTGTAAGCTTTGTGAATGCAGTTTTAATGATCCTAATGCCAAGGAGATGCACTTAAAAGGGAGGCGGCACAGACTTCAGTATAAGGTTAGTAGAAATGCTAATGCTTTTATTTTATCATAGACCAATAGTGTGTGTTAAACATGTCAGAAGAGCTCTGTAACTTTGAGATGACAAGAGGCAAGCCAACATTTCATTCATTATTTTTCTGAACTAGAAAAAAGTAAACCCAGACTTACAAGTAGAAGTAAAGCCCAGTATTCGAGCAAGAAAAATTCAAGAAGAGAAGATGAGGAAACAGATGCAGAAAGAAGAGTACTGGAGAAGGCGAGAAGAGGAGGAACGCTGGAGGATGGAAATGAGGTAATGCATTCTGTTTTGTCAATGAAAGAGACAAAGCTGCAGTCAGATTATCTAAAACTAACTGCTTCTGTAGTTACTTAATTTGAATACTTGTTTTGAGAACTCTGTACTGTCTTGTTTTAAGTTGTTATCCCTCTGGGGTTTTTATTTGTTTTTGTTTGTAAGTGCTCAATCCCTCTGAGGAATGTAGACTTACTAGAATTATTTGCTATAAATTCAGGCCCACTTTCAAAATAACCATTCATTTTCGTTACCCTCTGGAGTTCACTGATATTTGCTCATGACTACTAGAAATGGGTTAGTGAGTGAGGACATCCAAGAATTTATTTAGAATGGTTGGAAGTATTAACTGCTATATAAAGAGAACACTTTGCACTTCAGGCGATATGAAGAGGACATGTACTGGAGGAGAATGGAGGAAGAGCAGCATCACTGGGATGACCGTCGCAGAATACCAGATGGAGGATATCCTCATGGCCCTCCAGGACCTCTAGGCCTGCTGGGAGTTAGACCAGGGATGCCTCCTCAGCCCCAAGGACCAGCTGTGAGTTTCTTAACTTTGGGGGGGATCACACTTGCCAGGAGGCACAGTTAAGAACTGTAAATTATTCATTGCTACTTCAGTTGTCTCCAGTGTTTCTTAATAAAGGATTTGGAAAAGTGAAGAAAAAAATTATATACTAATGAAACCGTGTAGATGGACTTGTCTTCCAAAATAAGTCCACTTATATGACGAAAGGATGCCTTGAAGACAAATATTGATTCTTCTGAAATACAAGTCAACCTGGATTTGTGTACTACTTTTTATTTAATTTAATTGCATTATACTTTATTTATCTAATTGTGGACAAATGTATGGATAAAAAATGGTTGGATCATCAGTCCCAGTGGATAATAGGTCATATTCTACCATATTCTACAAGTGCAGTACCACATGGGTTTATCCTGGGATTTGTCTCATTAGCACCTTATCAATGATCTGAAAGGTGATGGAAGTGAGTGCACACTCATCAGGTGTGCAGCTGACATAAAACTGAATTGGTTTGGGGTGGAGAGAACAGTTGATACCTTTGAGGGCAGGGCTGCAATCCAGACCAACCTATGCAGACTGGAGGAATGGACCAACAGGAACTTTATAGAATTCTGCAAGGACAAATGCCTAATGCTGCACTTGAGGAGGTATAACCCCTTGCACTGAGGGGCTGGGGAGTGACAGGCTGGGTAGCAGCCCTGCTGAAAGGGACCTGGGGTTCTTGGTAGATAGCAAGCTGAACACGAGCCAAACGCGTGCCCTGGCAGCAAGGCAGGCCAACAGCATCCTGGGTGATATTAACAGGAGCATAATCAGTAGATAAAAGGAAGTGATCAGCTTTCGTTAGACCCAAATTGCAATACTGCATTCACTTTTGGGCTTTCCAGTAAAAGAAAGATACTGATAAACTATAGTGGGTTCAGTGTGGGGCTACTGGGATGGTCAGGGGTCTGGATTGTGTGCCCTGTGAGGAGAGACTCAGGGTATCTGGGCTTGTTCAGCCTGGAGAAGAGAGAGCTTCAGTGGGATGTAATAGACTTCTAATGCCTGTGCATTATAAAGACAATGGAGCAAGGCTTTTTACAGTCCTGAGGGGCCAAGATATGACCAGCTTAAGCTGAGACAAAAGAGGTTCAGACTGAATGCAAGAAATATATGTTTTTTTTTTTCACACAGATGTTATGCAGCTTCCATCTTTGGCAGTTTTCAAGAACTGACTGGATAAAGCCCTGAGCAACATGATATGGTCTTATAGCTGACCATGGTTTGCACAGGAGGTTGGACTAGAGGACCTCCTGAGGTCCCTTCCTATTTGAATTCTTCTGTGATTCTATGAAAAGCAATCATGGATACTTTATTTTGCATCAGTATGCAAGTATTTTCCAGTTAACAGAAAGACAATAGCTATTTATGTTGGGGAGGTACTTTTTATCCTGGGATTTCATAATTTGTTTATTTTTGATACATTTCATGTTTTTTCAGACATGATTGATTGTGACCAGTGTAAGTTGTTAAGGACACTTCAGTTCATGTTTTGTTACATTTCAGTGATTTGAGGTTTGAATATTCTGTTGTTTAGCCACATGTTTGGTTTTGGTCACATATCATCTGTGAACTTGGAAGTGTACCCAAATTTCAGAAATGTGCTTTTTCGTCTGTTTAGCCTCTGCGCCGCCTTGACTCCTCTGATGACCGCTATGTGATGACCAAACATGCAGCTATATATCCAACAGAGGAGGAACTTCAAGCAGTCCAAAAAATTGTTTCTATTACTGAGCGTGCTTTGAAACTTGTTTCTGACAATATGACTGACCATGAAAAAAGCAAGAGCAAAGAGGGAGATGACAAAAAAGATGGCAGTAAAGACCGGTATTTTTTTCCTTATTAAGAATTTCATCACTTGTTTCTGAAGTCATTTTATGTTTTTCCTTGCACTGTTATCAGTGCTTCCAGGATTTCTGTTCTTTTTGGGTTTTGATATGGCACATGTCTCTCTGGCCTCAAGAGTATATGGAATACTCCTATTTTATATCACTTTTATATCTTCAGGATTAGTTTTATGTTTTTTATATTATTTTAAATGCAACTTTTAACTATAATTCACAGAGCTTTGAAAGGAGTTTTACGGGTAGGCGTTTTGGCTAAAGGTTTGCTACTCCGTGGAGACCGAAATGTCAGTCTTGTGTTGTTATGTGCTGAGAAGCCTTCAAAGATGTTACTCAGTCGTATTGCTGAAATTCTTCCCAAACAACTTGCAGTAAGTAGAATTTAGATTTTTGGATTTGAATTTTTGTAAAGACACTGTAAAAATCTGTCCTCAAGTCAAATGTCTGCAGGGCTGACTGTGCTGCATTTCATAGTTCAAGTTCAGTTTATTTTCATTTTCTGAGTGTTTCTGTCTGAATGCAGAGACTATGCTGCATGTTTTGATTTCTGTATATTGCGTCCATACAAGCATCTAGGTGTTTATGCTAGTAGTGTAGTATCAATCATCATTTAATAGATTTCATTTAACTGGGAAATAGAAATGAGTAGAAGATTGTTATCCAGTTACCAGCAGTGACAGAGGTAATTTGTGCAGTGTTACAGGAAGTTTGTGCTGCCTGAAGGTCAAAGTTCTCCATTAATGCCAGTCTGTTTGTACTTATGTCTTGTTTCCAATTTGTATATGTCAGTGCTTTGTAGTCCCACAATTAGTTAATGAAGTCTTGTGTTTGGTTTTGTTTATTTTTTTTTTAATTTGACACTTAAAAAAAAAAAGTACATGCAGTCTTAGACCATTCAGCAGAATTCATATAAACCATTTGCTGTATTTCTACAAGAAATGAAAGTACAGAATAAAGTCTTTAGCTAAAGTGCTTTTTACTGAACAAAGCCTGTCCACCATCATTATAGAATGCTTGTCACAGCATTAGTATTTCAATGCAGTCTGGTAAAATGCTCAGCAGAATCAGTGGCATGGTAGAAGTGTTAGCAGGATCATATTAATTAGAAAATAATCTTGGGTTTGCTCTTGTTTGAAATGAAATAACAGAACAGAAAAAAAATTAAAAGCTACACATCTTGGTCTGGCTTTGTGGAGAAGTCACTTGTCCCTCTAGTTTGTGGAAGAAGGTGATAGAGGGTACCTACAGCTTCCTTTTGGGGGTATTTAGAATTATTCAATCTAGTTGCAAGAAGCAATTCTGAATAACCACCTTGTTACTCTTACTTCCCCCCCCCAGTGTTTATCTTGCCCTTTGCTCTCATCAGAGAGTCAAGTATAGAATGAGCCTAGCAGTACCCATCCTGTAACTGTGAGCTCGAAGAACTACTGCATCTTTGTTCTTTTTAAAGGCTCCTATCTTCCAATGAGAAACATATCCAACTGGCATTTTAAGTGGCACCGAGGCTTTTCTTTATCTCAAACACTGTCAAGATTCTTGTTATGTAATTTACTTTGTATATGAATTTCCTTTTATGGGTAGTTTTTTTTCTTTTGCATGCTTGGTGACTGCTGTGTATTTTCATTAATGATTTGGAAACAGTATGCAAGTCCATATATAGAGATATACATCTTAATTGTGTATACTGCTGTTTCTTTGAATACAGAGGTATCTGCTTCATATAATTATATTGTGTTTATGTCTTTCTATTAAAAAGACTATGTTGAAATCTGTTTTCTTCCCCATGCTTTTCTTGGCTGCATGCTAATAGAAATTTCTCTTTCTCAATATTTAGGTAATAAGTCCTGAGAAATACGATATCAAGTGTGCAGTCCCAGAAGCAGCAATAATTTTAAATTCATGTGTGGAACCCAAAATGCAAGTCACTATCACACTGACATCTCCAGTCATTCGGGAGGAGAACATGAGGGATGGAGGTTGGGAAGTTGTAAAGATGTTACTTCTTTCTCCCCTGTTTTTATATGTTTGTTTATTCTGCTTAAGATGGCATTAAGGTCCTAGAAGGCAACATGCTGGCACAATTAATGTATTTGATCAAAACCTTGTTTTTCAACGACCAGTTTTGGTAGAGAACAGTTGGTTAAAATAAATGCTTATATGATGCATTTATTTAATTTTTAAAAATGCGGACTTTATGTCCAACCTCAGCTTTCCCCCCCCTTATAAAAATTATGTGGAAAACTTAAGTATTTTATAGTAAGTGGCTATAAACTAGCTTTCTAGAGCAGTCTTGCCCTAAGAGAAAGATTGTATGGTTTTAGAAAAATCGCAGGTTTTGGGGTTTAAACTGGATCAGTATTACCATCACTTGCACGTTTCAAATAGCAGTGCAACCGAAAATGCACTTTTATGATACTTTTGATGGTAGCAGCACTTCTAACATCTAAAAGATGATGTGATTTCTTTCCAGCTTTCTGAGGTTACTTTTTGGTCTGGAGTGCTTTTTGAGTATACTTCTGGTATTACAATCAGTTTTCTATCCAACTGGCAAACCCAGACTAGTACAGTAAGAAATGGCTTTGTCGTTGAGCTGAAGCAGAAGGTGGAGCTTGTAAATCAAATTACATTTCTGAAGTTCACTGTTTCTCTGGTGCCAGCAGTTTTGCTTTAGGGTCCGTTCTGTAACGCTTTCAAAGCTGCAAAAGCCTTTAAGCCAACAAGCATGATTAATGTCTGCATGATATTGGTTCTTTTTGTTTATGGGTCAGATAAAATTAACTTTTGTTTCCTTTTAATCCTGTATTTTCATAGTTGAAAGAGATCATGGCAAACAGGGTTCTGGTGTTTGACAGTGAACCTACAGATAGGAAATCTGATCTTAACACTTCTCAGGTTGAAAAAATTGTGTGTGTATGTATACATGTACTTGTGTATATATGTATTTATATAAGCCACAGAGGCTTTTTTTATTTCATCTCATCATTATATGTCCTCTAAAATACTTGAGGCTTTTATATTGCGTTAGTAATGTTCTGTAGCTATGACTACTGCATTGTAAGCAAGCTGTGTTAACAAAGTCATCCTACATAATCAGAAAAAATTCAAGATATGTTCGCTAGTTTGGATGACTTCTGAAGAGTCTGAGTGCTTTGTACATGATTTTTAAGCTGTGCATATTATTCCTAGCTATAAAGGCTTTGTACGTGTACTGTCACACCCAACCAATTCTACTTGTTTTTTGACAATCTAAGTGTAACATAACTCTTGGTTTGTCTGTGCTGAATCAGACTTCACGTATTATTTAAGTTCATAAAGAATACTTTAACTTAAAAGATTTGATTATTAAATTACGTTAAATGAAGTTAACCTTAAACACCATGTTTATTTCTTAATGTGCTGTGCAAAAGTGCAATATTGATTCCTGCCACCATACTCAATTTCAATTTTCTGGCCTAAAATTTTCTGATGTAGACTAAAAAGAAAATAAATTTCAAATTACTACAATCAATCCCTTAATTTATGCCACCTAAAGGAAACAAATTTGTATTTTTGTCTGACCCACACTTGAGTTAAAATGATCATTGTGAGTTTATTCACTGTTGAATGCAGTACTGCCTCTAGGCAAGCAAAATCAAGTTAGGTTTCTCTTCAAGACACTGAGCAGTATAAAATGAATGTGCAGAAAAGTTCACTTTTGAAACTAGAGCAAATAGAAGACTGAATTGCAGCAAAGAAGGCCTTATGAATATTATGAAGACTGCTGCTTATTTGCTGCAGAGTAATATTATTTGTTTGTGTTTTTTCTTACTGCAACTTCTCATGCTCTGTGTCTTACAATGGCTTAAAGTTTTCTAGTTTTCTTTTTTTTGTTGTTTTTTGGGGGGTTTGTTGGTTTGGTTTTTTTAGCCTGCTTGGGGGGCTAGTTCAGGTGATAAGGAAGGCTTTACCGGAAGAACCAGATTGAGTAAAGATGAGACTGAGACTTGCATATGGGGTAAAAATCATGTTTGATGTATAATAATCCCATTACGTGATAAAAGGTTAAAAAAAAAATACATTGTGAAATAAAACTAACTTCATAGCTACTGTTCCTTACAAAAATGTGCGTTTGACAGTTTACCAAATCTGATATATTCAAAGTGCTCTAACCTCTGCTGCGGAATCTTTCCTTCAGCAAACAAAGTGTATATACTTATAAACGCATATATGTGTGCGCATGTGTCTTTTTTTTTTTTTTTTATCCTTAGCTAACAGCCCCGGTCCAAAGCCTTCTATCAGAGGGACTTGATCCCTGTCAGGGATTGCTGCCAAGACATCGGAAGGATTTTTGACCAAGGTTTTCTAAAGCTCAATGTCACACCTGCCATGCTTTACAAAGGAGGGGGTTTGGATGCTTAGTCCTAGCATCTACTGTTACTTTGTGTGGGTTTTTTCTTTTTCTTTTTTTTTTGTGTCTCTCCTAGAATTAAGCAGTGTTCACACTAGTCTTGAAATAGTTAACTGTAAAATGTATTTCACGTAATAGAACTTAACAAAATTGATATACCTGTTAACTTTTAATGAAGAGATAGTGTGGACACAGCATGTCTAACTGAAGATTAACCCCTTATACTTAGGTTAGTAATAAATTAAGTTATATAGGGTAAGAATTTGTGTTTATGTTTTGTAAATTAATTTCTGGTTTTTGACTTATCTTAACAGGGTGGTAGGTTAGGCATCTGAATTTAGTTAAATAGTCTTTAAGGGATTAATCCTGAAATGTGAAACAGATGCAAAATGGCTATAAACTAGCTTTCTAGAGCAGTCTTGCCCTAAGAGAAAGATTGTATGGTTTTAGAAAAATCGCAGGTTTTGGGGTTTAAACTGGATCAGTATTACCATCACTTGCACGTTTCAAATAGCAGTGCAACCGAAAATGCACTTTTATGATACTTTTGATGGTAGCAGCACTTCTAACATCTAAAAGATGATGTGATTTCTTTCCAGCTTTCTGAGGTTACTTTTTGGTCTGGAGTGCTTTTTGAGTATATTTAGGCTCCTGGTATTACAATCAGTCTTCTATCCAACTGGCAAACCCAGATTAGTACAATAAGAGAAATGGCTTTGTCGTTGAGCTGAAGCAGAACGTGGAGCTTGTAAATCAATTTATGTTTCTGAAGTCCGCAGTTTCTCTGGTGCCAGCAGTGTTGCTTTAGGGTCTGTTCTGTAACACTTTCAAAGCTCCGGAAGCTTTTAAGCCAACAAGCATGATTAATGTCTGCAGTACATTGGTTCTTTTTGTTTACGGGTCAGATAAAATTAACTTTTGTTTCCTTTTAATCCTGTATTTTCATAGTTGAAAGAGATCATGGCAAGCAGGGTTCTGGTGTTTGACAGTGAACCTACAGATAGGAAATCTGATCTTAACACTTCTCAGGTTGAAAAAATTGTGTGTGTATGTATACATGTACTTGTGTATATATGTATTTATATAAGCCACAGAGGCTTTTTTTATTTCATCTCATCATTATATGTCCTCTAAAATACTTGAGGCTTTTATATTGCGTTAGTAATGTTCTGTAGCTATGACTACTGCATTGTAAGCAAGCTGTGTTAACAAAGTCATCCTACATAATCAGAAAAAATTCAAGATATGTTCGCTAGTTTGGATGACTTCTGAAGAGTCTGAGTGCTTTGTACATGATTTTTAAGCTGTGCATATTATTCCTAGCTATAAAGGCTTTGTACGTGTACTGTCACACCCAACCAATTCTACTTGTTTTTTGACAATCTAAGTGTAACATAACTCTTGGTTTGTCTGTGCTGAATCAGACTTCACGTATTATTTAAGTTCATAAAGAATACTTTAACTTAAAAGATTTGATTATTAAATTACGTTAAATGAAGTTAACCTTAAACACCATGTTTATTTCTTAATGTGCTGTGCAAAAGTGCAATATTGATTCCTGCCACAATACTTAATTGAAATTAAGTGGTTTCTGGTCTAAAATTCTATGATCTGGACTAAAAATAAATTTCAAATTACTACCATCAATCCCTTAATTTTTACTAACTAAAGGAAACAAAGCTGTATTTTTGTCTGACCCACACTTGAGTTAAAATGATCATTGTGAGTTTATTCACTGTTGAATGCAGTACTGCCTCTAGGCAAGCAAAATCAAGTTAGGTTTCTCTTCAAGACACTGAGCAGTATAAAATGAATGTGCAGAAAAGTTCACTTTTGAAACTAGAGCAAATAGAAGACTGAATTGCAGCAAAGAAGGCCTTATGAATATTATGAAGACTGCTGCTTATTTGCTGCAGAGTAATATTATTTGTTTGTGTTTTTTCTTACTGCAACTTCTCATGCTCTGTGTCTTACAATGGCTTAAAGTTTTCTAGTTTTCTTTTTTTTGTTGTTTTTTGGGGGGTTTGTTGGTTTGGTTTTTTTAGCCTGCTTGGGGGGCTAGTTCAGGTGATAAGGAAGGCTTTACCGGAAGAACCAGATTGAGTAAAGATGAGACTGAGACTTGCATATGGGGTAAAAATCATGTTTGATGTATAATAATCCCATTACGTGATAAAAGGTTAAAAAAAAAATACATTGTGAAATAAAACTAACTTCATAGCTACTGTTCCTTACAAAAATGTGCGTTTGACAGTTTACCAAATCTGATATATTCAAAGTGCTCTAACCTCTGCTGCGGAATCTTTCCTTCAGCAAACAAAGTGTATATACTTATAAACGCATATATGTGTGCGCATGTGTATTTTTTTTTTATAAACACATATACGTATGCGCGTGTGTCTTTTTTATCCTTAGCTAACAGCCCCGGTCCAAAGCCTTCTATCAGAGGGACTTGATCCCTGTCAGGGATTGCTGCCAAGACATCGGAAGGATTTTTGACCAAGGTTTTCTAAAGCTCAATGTCACACCTGCCATGCTTTACAAAGGAGGGGGTTTGGATGCTTAGTCCTAGCATCTACTGTTACTTTGTGTGGGTTTTTTCTTTTTCTTTTTTTTTTGTGTCTCTCCTAGAATTAAGCAGTGTTCACACTAGTCTTGAAATAGTTAACTGTAAAATGTATTTCACGTAATAGAACTTAACAAAATTGATATACCTGTTAACTTTTAATGAAGAGATAGTGTGGACACAGCATGTCTAACTGAAGATTAACCCCTTATACTTAGGTTAGTAATAAATTAAGTTATATAGGGTAAGAATTTGTGTTTATGTTTTGTAAATTAATTTCTGGTTTTTGACTTATCTTAACAGGGTGGTAGGTTAGGCATCTGAATTTAGTTAAATAGTCTTTAAGGGATTAATCCTGAAATGTGAAACAGATGCAAAAATCCACAGATTAAGTATTAGAAGAGTTTCCTTGATACATTTTTTTCAGTCAATGTATTCTTAGTGCAATAGGTGCCTTGCAACTTCTGACTTAGTCTTTACGTTTCAAGGGTATTCATATAATATCTTAGTAGCACATTTTAGATTGACATTTCCAGCACTGAGTAAGATTCTCTTCTGTGCACTTAAACTGTAATTCTTTTTAGTAAAATTATTTTCCAAATTTAAATTTTTCGGAGCTAGAAGTAATTGGAATTTCAAATTATGTAGTGAATTATTGTGATAAAAGTTTGCAGCGTCACCTAATTGCATATTAGTTTTAGAAGAATGTAAAAAAAAAAAAAAAAATCAACTGATTAGACTACTAGACCAAACACCCATATTTTTATTTTTAATTTCTCAACCTTACTTTGCCTCTTTTTTTCCCTGCTGTGGATTTTCTCTAAATTTGCTCCTTGTCTTTTATATCCAAGTTGTACTTGTTTCATCAGTTATCTTACCTGGCACCTCTTTTGTAAAGGTTTGGGGTGTTTTGTTGGTTGGTTGGTTGGTTTGTTTGTTTTAAATTAAATGCTGTTTTAAATGTCTTAATTTGCTCTGTAAATCCCTGGTTAGTGCAGTTTTTCTTCTTTCCACTTTAACATATAGTCCATAAGTTTAAATATCTGTGGGAGAAAATACCTACATTCTTCTCAGCTTTGTTCTTATTTTGAAATCCTCCCCTTTTTAGCCCTGTGCAGAGCAATGGGACTATCCTATAAAAAATGCCCAAATATGAATGTTGTATTTCAGATTAAATTTAATTATTATATTGCAAAGTTGTAGCACCATGTTAATTCATGGCTTTTTAGTTCTCTGTATAGTAAAGTATCCTACTATTTATTTTACATTTGTGTATAAATAGGGGGTTTCAGAGCTGTCTCTGCAGCATCCCTAGAAGCTTCTCCTTGCTGGCATGTTTCATGAGACTCAAATATATATATTTTTTTTTTTTATTTTACACATGTATATATAAAAAAAATATTTTCAGACTTACCTAAATTTATATCTTGCTGGAGTAAACTATATTGTTCTATACAGCCAGATCCTGCAAAATGAGCGCTATTGAGTGAGGGCTTTTTTTTTCATCTTATCTGGTGTATCACCAGTTATGCTACCAATATACTTTGTCACTAGTCACAATAGCCATTTTCATAATCGGTAAAACAAAGAACTTTTAAAGCTAATCATTGCATTATACAATTTTTAAGTAACCCAAAGATACCCTTTCGTTTTGTTCAGTGGTTCCAGTTTCATTGATTAAACCACTTCCAAAAGGGCCTTGTGGTCTTTTCCTTTTCGGTAGCAAAGCAATCAGCTCGGTAATTTACTTAATCGTTTTCTGAACATTTGAATATACAAGATCTGCTATGTTTTCTTTATCTTTCAGACATTCTGCTTTGTCTTTTAAACTATTCCTTGCTTTTCTTTTTCTTGCTGAATCTTAAGTAAAGCGGGCCCTTTTCAGATCCTTTCTTGCATCCTAAATAATATTTGAGCACGCATATAATGGGCTGAGGAATTTATTTAGATGAGCAAAAGAGAGGGTATTAGAAAGTAATGGAACTAATGCTGAAGAGCATTTCACGTTCCTTTAGTCAGTTTTTTTTTTAAAGCAAAGTAATTTCCATTTTAAGTTTAAAGTATGATAAAAATAACATCATTGCTACACATCTAGTGCTTTTAAGATTTATTTTTTTATATACTTAGTTTTTCTTTTAAAGAGTAGGTCTCAAATAACACATGACTTAAAATTTACAAGAAACTGAGTTTGAATGTTTCTACTTGGTTAAAGTGGATTTTTGTGTTCCTTCTGTCTTGTGTTCTCTGTGCTGGTGCACTGTGTCCAATCATCCTTCCTTCAGCATTTAATTTTAGGGGATATGTGTTTTTCCAGTGTTAGCTTAAATAAAGAAGTACTATGCATCGCATAGGCTGCAATGCATTCAAAAATAACCCGAGAGCTAAAGTATAATATGCTCTTGATCTTCATACTGGGTTGATGCACTAATCCTAATTGAATGGCTTTTATTGAACATTTACATTTGTTGTTCAAGTGTTTAAACTTTAAATGGCATGTGTGACATTGAAGCTACTTTAAGGAAGTGTCTTGCTCACCTGGTCAAACACCCATTCCTCACTGCATTTTGCCAATTCAATCCATTTTAGATGTAACCTCGGGTATGGTGAAAGACCCACTGGACGTCTTGGACAGGCAAAAATGCCTTGATGCTCTGGCTGCTCTACGCCACGCTAAGTGGTTCCAGGTTCGGAACATCATTTTATTTTCTTCTTGTAGCCTTATGAGAGATTAATTCAGTTGCAATATAGATGTTTAACTGTGTGAAAACACTCAGTGTTGTTCATGCTAATAATACTTAATATTTTTCTGGTCCCTAAATTTAAATGTAGAAGGTTGAGTATTGAGGAGCTGCTTCATGCAGTTATTGCTCATTTGATATTATTTATTTTTTCTTCTGGTCATTGAGAAGGCGATGTTGAAAGCTTGACTCGCTTGGGGTGATCATATGTTGTATATTTGTTATATGTTCCATAAGGCTGCAGAGTAACTTTGCTTTAAATAATGGAATATGTGTTTAAAGCTTTGTGTTTAGATTTAAGACTTTTTTTCCTATTTCTTTAAGTGCATTAAGTGT